GCGCGTTACGTTGCACGTGGCTTCAGTCAGCGACAGGGAGTTGACTTCTTCCAGACCTTCTCCCCTACCCCGAAGATGACCACTCTTCGTGTACTGCTGCACGTAGCTGCTCAGCGTGACTACGAGCTCCACTCGCTTGACTTCAGCACAGCCTTCCTACAGGGCAGCCTGCACGAGGAGATCTGGCTGCGCCGCCCACCTGGCTTCACTGGGTCGTTTCCTGTTGGTACCCAGTGGAGCCTCCGGCGGCCAGTCTACGGTCTCCGTCAGGCACCCCGTGAGTGGCACGACACACTCAGGACGACTCTTACAGCTCTTGGTTTTGCTCCTTCCACTTCTGACCCTTCTCTGTTTCTACGTACTGACACTACTCTGCCGCCGTTCTACGTTCTCGTGTACGTAGACGACCTCGTCTTTGCTACTGCTGACACAGAGGCACTCGCCCACGTGAAGTCCGAGCTGCAGAAGAGACACACGTGCACAGACCTGGGTGATCTGACAAGCTATCTTGGCTTGCGGATCACCCGGGACAGAGCACAACGCACCATTACCTTGACTCAGTCACACATGGTGCAGCAGGTCCTTCAGCGCTTCGGCTTCACGTACTCCTCGCCACAGTCCACTCCTCTGCCTACCGGTCACTCACTCTCAGCTCCACCTTCGTACGAGTCCGTATAGCCGAGTGGCCCATATCCAGAGCTTGTGGGCTGCCTCATGTACCTGATGACTTGCACACGACCTGACCTCGCATACCCTCTCAGCCTTCTGGCTCGCTACGTGGCTCCCGGCAGGCACCAAAAGGTGCACTGGGATGCTGCGAAGAGGGTGTTGCGATACTTGTGCAGTACATCGGGCATGGGGCTCGTGCTTGGAGGACGGGCTCGAGTTGTCCTCACTGGTCACGCTGACGCCTCCTGGGTTGATGACTTGGCTACCCAGCGGTCGTCACAGGGTTACACCTTCAGTCTTGGCTCCGGTTCTGTCTCTTGGCGGTCTACCCGCTCGTCTTCTGTTCTCAGCTCCAGCTGTGAGGCTGAGATCTACGCTGGGGCCATGGCTGCGTAGGAGCTACGCTGGCTCACCTACCTGCTGACCGACTTGGGAGAGGCGCCTCGTTCTCCTCCAGTTCTGTACGTCGACAACAAGGCCATGCTGGCCTTGTGTCAGGAGCACAGACTGGAGCACAGAATGAAGCACATTGCTCTGCGCTACTTCCTTGCTCGAGAGTTACAGCAGCGTGGCCAGCTTCGTCTTGCTTACGTGGCCTCTCAGGCCAACACTGCTGATGTTTTCACCAAGGCACTTCAGCCTTGTGATCATCAGCGTTTCTGTACTGTTCTAGGCCTTGTACCTACTGTGCCTCACTTGCTTACTTCTTGACTCTGCTTGTACTGTACTCTATACATATACCTGCATGCTTACACTTGCTAGGTTGTGTTCACTGTATTGTTTGCTTTCCTTCATATAACTCTTCATGTGAACTGGCCTTGTGGCCCTTTGCTTGTCCTCAAATTGTGTGGTGACTTTGTGATCCACCCTGAGCTTGTTTTGCCTTCTTGACAAGTCTTGTGACATCTTGTTCTCCCCCACTTTGCCTATGGGGGTGTGTCAAACTTATCTATGCTACAGACTGTTTAGGCTGTAGTGGGGTAGTCCTTATAGGGTACAACACTTTTAGGTTTCCCATATGTACCCACCTGCTTTCTAGTTCAGTCATTCCGTTCCTGATTCTAACATCCTCTACGTTGTTGCAGCAAAATCCATCTGCTGCAATCTCGTCGTCAAGTTCTACTTCACCCTTGACAGCGTCCCGCCGGTGCTGCATGCAGAGATTGTCCTGGGACCCATCCAGGGCGTTGCTGATGCCACATGTGAGAAACGAGCGCTGAATCAACTCCTTGGGCACAGCCTTCCAGGCCTTGGAGATCCACTTGAGCGTCAGCTCTGGAGGTGGCTTGCGGATGTTGCCTGCCACACATGGAAACACTACAGCAATCAGAACAGGGTGGAAACAGTCTAAGCAGACACATCGTACACGTTGAGATTGAGCTCACCTCTTTCGGTCTGGCAGTCGACCCCCTTGCTCTCGAACCACTCCTGGTACAGTTGGCGGACTGCTGCTTTGAATGAGCGGTTCACCGCGACGTCAAGAGGCTGGATCTCAGAGGTGCAGCCAGCTGGTATGATGGCGGGGACGATGTTCAGCTCCCCGAATTTTGCCTTCACAGCATCAGTGAGGTGCCCGCGGTAGGAGTCAAGAACAAACATCACTTTCCTGTCGCGTACTCCGAACCTGGGGTTGACATACGGGTTCACCATCCCGTCGAGCCACGCGAGGACGCCGTCAGCGTCCATCCAACCGTTGGGATGTACGGCGACCACAACATATGCAAATCCGAACAAGGCGTACGGACAGATTAGCATCAGACATAAAAAAAAAAATATCACATGCAAATGACACCGTCACTGCACAAGCTGCTCGGCTTACCAGAGGTGAAATTTCCCTTAGGAATTGTCTTGTGCTTAAAGAAGACCCAAGGCTTGAGCTTCTCGCCACTGGCGGTGCAGGCGAGCATCACCGTCACGCGTTCTTTTTGATAGCCGCCACTGTGGATGGGCACGGAGCGGATCCCCACCTCCTCGACCGTGCGTTCAGCTGGCATCTCGAGCCAGAGTGGCGTTTGATCGGCATTAATAATCCAGCGGTTGTTGATGCCGTACTGACGGCGGGAGTGTCGCACGAACTTCCAGAAGTTCTGCACCTGTGTCTCACACTCTGCAAGGGAAGGGTGGGAGAGACAAACAAAAGAAGTAAATTAGAATTTCGAAGGTCGTAAGCAGCCATAAACGAGAGCGACAGCACAAACACCGACTCACCAGACGATAGCTTCTGGCCGACTCTGGTCTTCGCTCGGGTAGTGAGGTTCCAGCGCCGTCGAAAACGCTCAGTCCACCTCTGAGATCCAGCCCACTTTACCTCAGGATGCAGGATCTTCATCACATCATGTGACCACTTCTGCAATCGGCCGACGGACACGGCGAGACACTTTTCCGGTGGGCAAGAACACGTGAGTACACCTCGATCTCCATGTCGCGGTACCACGACGCCCGACCACGCCCGTGAAGGCGCTTCCGAGCCCCATGCGCACCTTCCAGCTCTCCCTTCCGTGACTTCCAATCTGACAGGGACTTTCAGGAGATACCAGTGTCGCGGGACATTCTCCGCACACTCACAGCTCCGGACTCCAACTTTGCAATCCACTGCAGCTTCTCCTGGGAAGTGTAGGAGTTGCGCTTGTGCGTTGAAGGCTTGCTCCTGGGGGATGGGAGGCGGGCATCACGATTCTGTTTGGAGGGGTGGGGCCGTTTCTTATTCGGCGGGGGGAAACTAGGGACAGGCAGGTCCTCGGGAAGACCATCGGCCGCCCACCACTCAACATCGTCTTCAGCACCAGTGGCGGATTCGTCGTACGGGCAGTCTTCCGCGTCTCCCCAGCGCGGCGACAGACCGGGGTCGGGTTCATCGTCGCCGCTGCGCTCAGGCTCGGAGATGTACGTGTTGAAAGCTGAGTAACCGCGAGGGAGGAGCTGTAGAACGGGCCGACCGTTGACGACGACGATAGGCGGAGCAGGAGGAGCAGGAGGTGCTGGAGGAGCAGGAGGCGCAGGAGGAGCAGGAGGAGCAGGAGGCGCTGGAGGAGCAGGAGGCGCTGGACGACTTTGCCACTGAGAGTAATCGCGAGTGTTGCCAACAACAGGTCGACGGCTAGATAGGAAGTGGGTGCCTGGAAGGCCCGCCATGGCCTAGGCAGGCCGAGGGAAAACAAGAAAACTGAAGAAAATGAAGAGAATGAGCCTCGTTTGAAACCCTCGCCCTAGACCCCTCCAACTTCGCGGCCCGGGTTCCTCTGCAGGGAAAGGGGGAAAACTGTCAAGATCCCCCCGCAGAGGAGCTGAGGTGGTGAGGTCAATGCCTCGGTGGAGTGGAATCTTGCCGGGGCTGCCAATTGCGTGGTTGTACAGAGTCGTGCCTGGCACGGCATGCGACCCTGATTGGGCAGTCGCACCCTAAACTACGTGTGCGCTAGCATGGGCCAGATTCATGTTCGATGAATCTGGCCAGGCCAGCAAGGCGTGATGGGCGTGATTCCACGCCTTGTTGGCCATTTCACGCACTTTTCATGCACGGATACGAACGTTCTAGATGTGGATTGAATCCCCTTTTGAAAAAGCTTCAATTTCATGTTAAAACAATACATTTCATTTTTGCCATTTCATCAACGCCGACGCTTATAAATTTCCTCGATTATAAGCACACCCCCTAAAAAATAGTGTTTTTTCATACCCCCAGGGGCGCTACTATCCGGGGGCTGACGGTACGATCGCAAACCTAGCCGCTCAAGTCCCGCGCCGTCCGCCAGGATCTTACGGTTCGATCCTTCTCGTGCATGGCTATTGCGTTCTCACGTTGCCTTCGACACGTGAAACAGACGGCCTGCAGCCAACTTGTTGCTCTGATGCAATGCCACTCCTTACCCACGGCGTCGCTGTTCGCAGCTCCGCGTTTCGTGCGGTTGGCTCTCGCACATTCTGCGTCATGACCCGAAATACCCGTTGCGCTACGAAATGTCGGCCGCCATTACGATCAAGGCGTTTCACACCCACGTGACCTCCTCGCCTTCACACTCATGTGACCTCCTCACCTTCACACCCACGTGACCTCCTCACCTTCACACCCACGTGACCTCCTCACCTTCACACCCACGTGACCTCCTCACCTTCACACCCACGTGACCTCCTCAACTTCACACCCACGTGACCTCGCACCCGCGTGACGGTCACTGCCCGGAGCGCCTCGCCTCAGATCTGGCGGGTCGCATGTGTCGAATCAGGAGACGACCTGCTTATCCCCGAATTCTTCACAACAACATGCCGACACTGACCGCAGCAGGTTCGCTTCAGCTTTGCGCAATGAATGGCACAATGGCACTTCTGATCTAATGGCACTTTTGCGCCTCGTCCTTCCCCTCGCCCCTCTCTCTCCTTCTCCGTCCTTTCTTTGCTTTCCCTCCTCTGCCACTACCCCGTTCCTGTCGTCCATCCTCCTTGTCCTTCGCCTATTTGTATCTCCCTCCCTGTCTCCCCCTCCCTGCCTCCCCCTCCCTGTCTCCCTCTCCCTGTCTCCCTCTCCCTGCCTCCCTCTCCCTTTCTCCCCATTCCTATCTCCCCTTTTCCTGTCTAACCGTTTCCCGTCGTCCGTCCCCTTGTGCCTCTGCCATCCCCTCAGGTCGTTGCCTGGCAGCATGCCGGGGAGAGTGGGGAGTGGGGGGGGGTGAGCTGACAGCAGCAGGAAGGAGACACATTTGAACCAGATGCAGGTGACGAGGTGAGTGTGGGTGGTGTGGGGTGGGATGGGATGCATGGAATAAAATAGAGTGGGAAGATGGGGTGGAACGGGGTTGGAATAGGGTGGGTCAGGATGGTATGGGATGGGACGCGTTGGTCGGGGTTGGGATGGGAGGTTTGCGACTGGGTTGAGGGCCATGGAGGTAAATGGTGCTCTGACTCTGTTACCCATTTCCCCAGATCTGGTGGCAGGGGGGATCGTCACCCTCATTGCTGGGCGCCGTGAGGCCAGCCGTTGCAGACCGTGTTAGGTCAGCATGGCAAGGGCGACACGGGGATGGAAAGGGGACTGCCGGTAGGTGATGGGTTGAAGGGGCGTCCCCAAAGGGAGCAGCAAGGAGGGGAAATGGATGGAGAGGGGTGCTTCTCATATGCGTTGCGACGGTTCGAAGAAACGGCTCTGTGCTTTTCTTCTTCCTCCCTCTCGCCCTCCATCTCTCTCCACCCCTCCAAACCACATCCCTGGTCCATCTGCGAGACCAAGGAGGCTGAGCACGTTGCGTCCGCCTGTGCTTCTTTCTCCTGGACTTCGTGTGCCCAGCAGCTTGTCACTAGAAGTGCTGCCAGATCTCGGGGCGGCAACCTCTGACCGGAAGGAGCGGATGTGGATTAGCGAACTGCAGCACGGGAAAAACCACAGCCGGTGACGCCCGACTGCCTGCTGGTTTTGATAGTGCTGTAACTGCCATGCTTGGTAGGGGCAAGCAGAGAAGGGGAAGGCAGGGCATGCTTGGGAGCAGGATGGTGGAGTTACAAGCACACTCTCGACCGCTGGAGCACATGCTAGGCAGGGTTGGACAAACATGTGTAGGAGCACGCACAACCAGGGCAAACAAACATGCACAGGATGGAATCAATCGGCTTTCTAGAATGGGGCAGTGGTGCGCAGCCAGGCTTTCGCAGTGAACTACGTCAGGCACATGATGATCACTATTACTTCCTGTGAAATGCGGGATGTGAATGTGCTGAAGGTTTCTTGGCCATTGTAATGTGAGTGAGAGAAGAAAAGTATGTGGTGTAGTACAACTGCTGTGTGCTGGTATGCTTATATGGAGAACCGCATTTGTAATTGTGGGGATACCGTAAGGACTGACCTATGTCAAGCTTGACATAGTCCAAACTGGGAATCATATACACATGTGTGTACACTCACACATGTTCAACAGAATGATATTTTCAACGGCTAGGCTGCTCTGCTCACCACCGCATGCGCGCTCCATAGCATTTCTTTGTACACCCTCATTCTCGCTAGACTGATCTCGGTTATACCAACCGGAACGCTTTGACTGACAGCAACGCACCAAAGAAGGTCTCATCACAAGGCTTACAAGCACATTTTGTTGCCTCAATCATAACAGCCAGCTGTCCCATCTTGTTGACTTCACTGCTGACACCTTTGACCACTATGCACACAGTACCCAAGCTGTGAGTGCAGTGTGGACCGAAATCAGAGACAATCTAACAACACGAACTGATAAATTCATGTCAGAATATATTCTGTCGTGGCGAGGAGACCGACAACGCTCGTGGCGGTCGTCGCAGCCCTTTCCCTCCCCCCGGTCCTGTTTTCTTCCCCCCGTCGCCTTTCCTGCTCGCGCCTGCTTCTGCAGTGCGGGGAGGTGGCGGGTGGGGGGGAGGTGGCAGGGGAGTGGAGCCTGCGCCCTGCCCGTGCCTCTGCCTGCACCAGCGCCTATGGGGGGGTAGGGTGCTGGGGGTGGCGGATAGTGGAGGGTGAGGTGTCAGAATGTCAGAATTATATTGTTATAACTGCAAGTAGTTCTAGCTGTAGTGTAGTTATCCTAATTTCCTGCTTGGTGGTGTACCCCCTTTCCTCCCCTATTTGTACTTCACTCTCTATAGTGAAACTCCTCTTTCTTGCTCCAATTCTCTCGATATTCATGCCTAGCCTAAACCCTAGGATGGCTCCTAGTCTCACCCTTTAGCTACTATTTTGATATGGTTTCAGAGCTGGTTCCATCCTAGAACCTTCCTGTAATTTTAAGAGATATGGACCCACACGCGCGCGACCCTTTTTGCCCTGCGTCCCGTCCCGTCGCCCCCACAGCGCCTGCCCGTCCCGTCCCATCGCGCCAGTGGCGCCTGCCCGTCCCGTCGCGTCGCGCCCGAAGCGCCCGCCCGTCCCGTCCCATCGTGCCTGCTGCGCCCGCCCGTCCCGTCCCATCGCGCCTGCTGCACCTGCTCGCCCCGTCCCGTGCGCTGCCCCTTCGCCCCGCCGCTGGTCGTGAACTCCAGCGCCAGCGCCAGCACCTTCTATAGGGGGGGGGAGATGAGTGGGTGGCGGGCTGTGGGAGGAGATGCAGTGAGGGGGTGGTGAGCGAGATGCTGTCAAGCCAGTAGCCGCCCCTCTTCTCTCTCTCACTGTCGAACGTGCAGCTGTGGGGGGGAGGGTAAGAGAGAGTGGCGGACGAAGCAGCCACGCATATGCAACTGCCGCCCTCTGCTACCGTGGCACCTCCTGCTGCAGCCCCTGTCGCCACCTTCGTTTGTCTCGTCTCTCTGCTGCTGTTGAGCGGCAGGTGCTGCCGTTGAGCCCTGCATTGCCGCCACCCTTTCTCGCCCCACGCACCTGCTCTCCAGGCTACCTGCGCCACATGCACCTACTGTTGTCTGTTTCTCTCTTGCCTTAGGGCTTACTCCAGCTGTATCTGCCACTACTGCACTGGTTGTCACTGCTCTTGCGTGCTGCTCCTTTGTTCTGCTTGGTGTACCCCTGCAGGTTGTGTCTTGCACTTGGCTATTCCTGCATGCAGTTAAGGGGGGATGTCAGAATTATATTGGGATGCAGCGTGGCTCCCCCCACCTCCTCTCCTCATTCCTCTCTGTTGTCTTCCGCTGTGCAGGGTGTACCCCTTCAGGGGGTGTTACGCACATGGCTATTCCTGCATGCATTTAGGGATGGTGTCAGAATATATTTCTGTATAACTGCATGTAGTTCTAGCTGGAGTGTAGTTATATTAATGTCCTGCTTGTAGTGCATCCCCTCCTTGCATGTCTCTTGTATAACTTGGGCCTTTGGCCCTTTTAGTCAAACCCTCTTCCTTTCTACTCTCGATAGTTGCCTAGCATCCAAACCCTAGGCACTACTAAGCTTATTTTAACAATTCACAACCCTGAAAGATGATTGGCGCTGCTTTGTTGGCTGTGTTGAAGTGTTGTTTACTTCCGACGGTTCGTTTCACCTGAGGTTGACAGGACAGGTGCAATTTGCAATGTTCAGTTACTGTTTGATTTTGCCGCCTCAACCAGGGCCTCAGATTCGTTTTGGCTTATGCTGAATCGTCCGCCTTTGGAGTGTGTTAAAGGCTGATCAATCAGTGTTGCCTTGAAACAAAAAAACTGGAAGTTCAGTGTGTCCTTAAAAAAAAAAAGCTGATCAATCAGCCTCACTACAGAAAAAAGGTTGAACGTTTCCTACGGGCCAACACACGCTCTATAGATTTAGCGTGTGACAACAATGCGTGCGACGAGCCGGAAAGATGCCATTTCCCGGTGCGTTGGCTTGGCGGGGAATCTAGCAAATTTGGAGCAAATTCGGCGTGAATGACGGTGTGACGGTGGAACGGGCGAACCTAGACATCCGGCACCTACACGAATATGCACTACTGGGATTTCAGCCCACACCCCCGTTACAACGCTGATCAGTCAGTGTACACCCTTGAAAAAACGCTGAAATATCAGCCCATACAAAGAAAAATAAGCTGAAAAATCAGCCTGTGCACTAAAAAAAACGCTGACAAATCAGCCCCACTAAATCCCCAGCACTGAAAACCTAACCTTTTTACCCCTAATCAGCCTTTTTTCGCTGACTTCTGAGGCCCTGACCTCAACCCTGGTTTGTCGCCACCTGTGTCAGAATGAAGAAGTGATTGAACTATGAAAGATGAGAGTACAAATATGAAACCCTAGAGTTGTGTACCCCCTAAAGGCTAACCCACTATAGCCTACACATCAATAACATATATGATAATGTTTGACACACCCCCATAGGCAAAGTGGGGGAGAGCAAGGGGTCACAAGACCAGTCAAGAAAGGCAAAGCAAGCTCAGGGTGGATCACAACGTCACCACACAGTCTGAGCACAAGCAAAGGGCCTCAGGGCCAATTCAAATGCAGAGGCATATATAGACAACACAAACAGCAAGGTGATCTCAACCTAACAAAACAAACAAGCAGGTATATATGTATATAGAGATCACAGTACAGACAAAGCCTACAGTAAGTGAGGAACAGTGGGCACAAGCCCCAGGACAGTACAGAAGCGCTGATGATCACCAGGCTGAAGTGCCTTGGTGAATATATCAGCAGTGTTGGCCCGAGTGGCCACGTAACGCAGACAAAGCTGACCACGCTGCTGCAGCTCTCGAGCCAGGAAGTAACGGAGAGCGATGTGCTTCGTTCTGTGCTCCAGTCTGTGCTCCTGACACAAGGCAATGGCAGCCTTGTTGTCGACGTACAGCACTGGAGGAGAACTAGGCCGCTCTCCCAGGTCAGTCAGAAGGTAGGTCAGCCAGCGTAACTCCTGTGCAGCCATGGCTGTGGCGTAGATCTCAGCCTCACAACTGGAGCTGAGAACTGAAGACGAGCGAGTAGAGCGCCAAGAAACTGAACCAGAGCCAAGGCTGAAGGTGTAACCCTGTGACGACCGCTGAGTAGCCTGGTCGTCAACCCAAGAAGCGTCTGAGTGCCCAGTGAGAACAACTGAGCGCCTCCCTCCAAGCACGAGCCCCATGCCCGATGTACTGCACAAGTAGCGCAATACCCTCTTTGCAGCATCCCAGTGCACCTTTCGGTGCCTGCCAGGAGCCACGTAGCGGGCCAGAAGGCCAAGAGGGTATGCTAGGTCAGGACGAGTGCAAGTCATCAGGTACATGAGGCAACCAACTAGCTCTGGGTAAGGACCACTAGGCTCTACGGACTCATCCGAAGGCAGAGCTGAGAGCGAGTGACCTATAGCCAGAGGAGTGGCCTGTGCTAAGGACCAGGTGAAGCCGAAGCGCTGAAGGACCTGCTGCACCATGTGTGACTGAGTCAGTGTGATGGTGCGGCGTGCTCTGTCCCGGGTGATCCGCAAGCCAAGATAGCTTGTCAGTTCACCCAGGTCTGTGCACGTGTGTCTCTTCTGCAGCTCCGACTTCACGTGGGTGAGAGCCTCAGTGTCAGCAGTGGCAAAGACCAAGTCGTCGACGTACACGAGGATGTAGAACGGCGGCAGTGAAGTGTCGGTGCGCAGGAACAGCGACGGGTCAGCAGTAGAAGACGAGAACCCAAGAGCCACAAGTGTAGTCCTCACTGTGTCGTGCCACTCACGTGGAGCCTGGCGGAGACCGTAGACCGGCCGCCGGAGGCTCCACTGGGTACCAGGAGGAAACGACCCAGTGAAGCCAGGTGAACGGCGCAGCCAGATCTCCTCGTGCAGACTGCCCTGCAAGAAAGCTGTGCTGAAGTCAAGAGAGTGAAGCTCGTAGTCACGCTGAGCGGCAACGTGCAGCAGCACCCGAAGAGTGGTCATCTTCGGGGTGGGGGAGAAGGTCTGAAAGAAGTCTACTCCCTCTCGCTGACTGAAGCCTC